TGGTGATATCTAATATAGGTAGGGCTAGCCATAGGACAGGACAAGGTGTTATCTGTGGGTATCCAGTGTATGTAGGGCCAACCATAAGACAGGTTAAGGTGTTATTTGGTGGTATCCAGTATAGGTAGGGCCAGCCAAAGGACAGGACAGGGTGGATGACTTTCCTTATTATATGGTGATATCTAATATAGGTAGGGCTAGCCATAGGACAGGACAAGGTGTTATCTGTGGGTATCCAGTGTATGTAGGGCCAACCATAAGACAGGTTAAGGTGTTATTTGGTGGTATCCAGTATAGGTAGGGCCAGCCAAAGGACAGGACAGGGTGGATGACTTTCCTTATTATATGGTGATATCTAATATAGGTAGGGCTAGCCATAGGACAGGACAAGGTGTTATCTGTGGGTATCCAGTGTATGTAGGGCCAACCATAAGACAGGTTAAGGTGTTATTTGGTGGTATCCAGTATAGGTAGGGCCAGCCAAAGGACAGGACAGGGTGGATGACTTTCCTTATTATATGGTGATATCTAATATAGGTAGGGCTAGCCATAGGACAGGACAAGGTGTTATCTGTGGGTGTCCAGTGTATGTAGGGTCAACCATAAGACAGGACAAAGTGTTATTTGATGGTATCCAGTATAAGTAGGGCCAGCCATAAGACAGGACAAGGTGTTATATGGTGGTATCCAATATAGGTAGGGTCAGCTGTAGGACAGGACAAGGTGTTGTATGGTGACATCCAGTGTAGGTAAGGCCAGCCATAAGACAGAACAAGGTGTTGTATGGTGGTATCCAGTATAGGTAGGGCCTGTCTTATTACAGGACAAGGTGTTGTATGGTGGTATCCAGTATAGGTAGGGCCAGTTTTATTACAGGACAAGGTGTTGTATGGTGGTATCCAGTATAGGTAGGGCCAGTCTTAGTACAGGACAAGGTGTTGTATGGTGGTATCCAGTATAGGTAGGGCCAGTCTTATTACAGGACAAGGTGTTGTATGGTGGTATCCAGTATAGGTAGGGCCAGTCTTAGTACAGGACAAGGTGTTGTATGGTGGTATCCAGTATAGGTAGGGCCAGTCTTATTACAGGACAAGGTGTTGTATGGTGGTATCCAGTATAGGTAGGACCAGTCTTAGTACAGGACAAGGTGTTGTATGGTGGTATCCAGTATAGATATAGCTAGCCATAAGACAGGACGGAGTGAACGACTTCTCTGGGTATCATATTATAATGTAATAAAATCAGTTGATAAACACTGCTTGAAATTAAAAAAAAGAAAAGAAAAAAGTTTGTAATTGTAAGAATAATTTAACTGAAACCAAAGTTTTTGCTCTTAACAACAAACTTTTAAGAATTTAGTATTTTACTATAGATTTAAGGGAACTCCCCCCACCCCCCAAAAAAAACCTTTAACTTCTACTTCAAGAGTGATATTGCAACTGATTGTGATGTTTTGGTTATTAAGTTTTTACATTTTTAAATATTACAATGACATTAACTGTTTAAAATGTTTCTGGTTTGAATGAGTATAGTACCAACAACAGAGTTATGGCAACTGTAACTCGCTAAGTACTTTCTCATCAACCAAGTTAACGTTCCCACGATATACCAAGTACTTTCTCAACAACCAAGTTAATGTTCCCATGATATACCAAGTACTTTCTGAACAACCAAGCTAACATTCCCATGATATACCAAGTACTTTCTCAACAACCAAGTTAACATTCCCATGATATACCAAGTACTTTCTGATCAACCAAGTTAAC